TCAAAGCGCATTCCACAGTGGGTGCACCAGTATCCACCCACAGTGTGTTAGTGTTCCTTTCTTCCCACATCTGCATTGGCATCCATTGTTCTATGTGTTCTTGATGATGGCCATTCTAAGTGGGGTGAGGTGGTATCTCAGTGTTGTTTTGATTTGCATTTTCTTTATGGCCAGAGATGCTGAGAATTTCCTCATATGTCTATTGAGCATGTTTATTTCTTTTTTTTTTAATTTTTATTTTATTTTATTTTTTTGGGTCTGGTCTTGGGGCCTGAACTCTGGGCCTGGGCGCTGTCCCTCAGCTCTTCAGCTCAAGGCTAGCGCTCTACCACTTGAGCCAGAGTGCCACTTCCGGCTTTTTTCTTTTTGCTTATGTGGTGCTGAGGAATCAAACCCAGAGCCTCAGGCATGCAAGGCAAGCGCTCTACCACTGTGCCACCTTCCCAGCCCAGCATTTTTATTTCTTTTACTGAGATGTCCCTATTTAATTTCCTTGAGATTCTTTCATAAATCTCATATTTTCTTTTTTCCATTTTCCCCAAAGATTTCTTTATTTGAGACTAAGTAACTTCATAAATTTCATAGTACATTTATTTGAATAGTACCACAAATAGGGCTAAACAAATTCATAGTGCAAATGTTAATTATTATCATTGAGATTTACTGTTGAGGGTAACATTTCATTATGATAGGGCACTTTATGTTTGTATTTTACGTGTTGGCTTTTTAAAAAAATAGTTTGAATCTAATAATCCAGAGGAAATATCTCAGACTGGAAGAAAGTAAGAGACACATAAATCCCTTGCTAAGATTCTTGCTTGTAACTCAGACTAGAAACAAAGAGGACAGATGGGAAAAGTGGCAAAATTTGCAGAGGAAATATAAATCATCTAGTATGAATCTCCTGACTATAATGACCTTAAGGTGCTAATATTTTCAATGTTACTTTTTCTGTTTTAATTTTACTTCTTTGTTTTATTTTTTGTTTACATGGTACTGAGGAATCAAACCCAGGGTCTCGTGCATGCCAGGCAAGCACTCTACCACGAAGCCACATTCCCAGCCCCAGACACTAATATGTTTTGAAGCCTATAAAGGGCATTATGAACATTTTTATAACTGAAAGTATTTTAATAAAGAGGAATTCTCATATTTCCAATGAGGAATCCCCTTGGTTTTCCTTTATTCACATCTTTTCCAAGTATTTTCAAAACTTTTATTACCTTTTTACAGTCAGTGTTTCATTTTTGATTCACAATACCTTTCTGCATTATCTGATTATTAGCATTTACCAGGCATTGGGGTTTCATCTGCTGAGAATTACCTACTGAGAACAGATATACCCATTCTCTAGTTGTTTATATTAGTATCTTAGGACTTTTTATTTTTCCTCTTCATCTCTTATCCCTTAATAATTGAGCCTCAATTTTGTGCAGGGAAATATTAACTTAGTTAGAAAAAGAAAACTGCTCAGCACTGGATTAGCACTGCAATTAGGACCAGTGACAAACTCTGCCATTTCTGGGTTCATTTTTGGAATTTTCTGGGTGTCTCTGGAGAATTTTCACTTTATTTACACCACTGATGATTTTCCCTTTTTCTTGGAACAAGACCAAGCTAGAGGAGGAGAGGAAGGTGAGGATAATTTGGGGAGGGGAGGGGAAGTGAAAAAACAAATTCTTTAAATAGGGACATTGGTGGATCCATTGCAACTTTGAGATGTCCAAGACCTTGTGTAGGAAAAAAGAACTTTACAACGTTGGTGTAGGGGTCGGGGGAGGGGGCGGTGGGATAGGATTAGGGGTTGGAGGGGGATGGGATGGAATAAGGGGAAACAAAGGAGGAGGCAACAGTGCTTGATAAGAAATGTACTCATTACCTTGCTCATGTACTTGTAACCCCTCTGTATGGTATTTTCACAATTAAAAAAAAAGAAAATGGAATCTGGTAGAGGAGACCTCTGGACACATTGTCAGTCATAGTGAGGAGGAGGAAGAAGAGGAAGAAGGAGTTTGGGTCCAGAGTGACTGCTTTGGAGCAAATTTCTCACGCTGGCCCCACATTAAGCTGTTCCCATGTATGGCTTGTTGGGGACCAGCAGGGAGATTCTCTGAGCTTGTGTTTGAGGACAAAGTTGGAGAGCTTGGAGCAAGCTGCCGCTGATGCTCTGTGCCCCAGGCACCATGGCTATACTCAAGTACTCAGCATAGCCACCATCCAGAACACCAGCCACAGCAGGTGCAGGTAGGGATGTGAGGAAGATATACCCTTCTACATTGTTGATGAGAATGAACTCTCTGCCTGGCTGTGTTGAACTCATGATTCTCCTGTACTCCATGGCCAAAAGCTCAAGTAACCCCACGTGGCCACATTCACATCTTAAACCCTTTAAGATAGTCTACATGTTGTCTGTGCAGCTGGTGTTAGTTTACATGCATCTATTCATTTACACATGGCAGCATACATGTCTGCATATTTTCCTTTCAAAGCGAGAAAACATAGTATTTCCATCAGCACCACTTTCCACAGTGTTTATTTTATATAATAGTGTAAACCAACTGTAAGTTTTGGTTCATTTGTTTTGTAAACAGTATTTTTTCAGTCCCATTTTCTTTTTTCTCCATTGTCTTGATCCTTTCCATATAAAAAGGCACTGATGCCATTTTTATGAGCATGAGTCCTAAGCCTTGGGTGCCCTCCCTGCTCTGTATTTTGCTTACTGCTGACCTTCTCACCCTACTGCTGCCTTCTGTGGTCCTCCTTGCCAACAGAGCTCTAAGGTCTGTCTTGAATGCCATTCTGTCCTAGGTCATCCACAGTGTAGAATGAGGGCACAGACACCTTTGACCAACTTGCTTATGAGCTGATGATGGATTGGTAACATGTAATTGGATTTAAGGTGCCGGTGGGTAGGATCTTTAGTAATCATTGAATTAGCAATGTTTCAGAGGCCTTCATGGTGGGTACCACTTCCCATGGAATGTGCAGTGATGTCCGGCACAAACAATGAGGATGTCTTCACTAGTGTTGTCTTTTATTCCTGGGTGCTGTGTTTGATCTCAGGGCCTCTTGTTTGTTAGACACTCTCCCACTTGAGCCAAGCCACCCCTTGTCATTTTTGCTTTGGTTATTTTCTAGGTAAAGTCTTTCATTTTTGATCAGATCTGACAAAGAGCCTTCTACTTACAACCTCCTGCACAGCTGGAACAACAAATGTGTGTGCCATCCAGCCAGTTTGTTTGCTCAGATGACATTTTGCTAACCCTTTCCCTGGGTTGGGCTTTAACTACAGTCCTCTTAATCTCAGGCTCCTGAGTAGCAGTATTAGAGGTGTAAGGCACTATCAGAAGCCTTTCTGAGTTTTTCTTGAGATGCAGGCCAGCTCTTTAGGGGTGAAGCATACAAGACCGATTCTACAACATCATATCCCCTCTAGATCCTGAAATAATGAGAAATGGAAGTGAAAACAACATGTCATTTTCATTTTTTTCCTTGTATTACTTTTTAAAAGTGAAGTAATTTTTGTGTGTTTGCGACTTAGTTTGTATCTCAAAAAGAACAGCATTGGCAAGGCATCAAATCTTTTGCAGAAGTCACACATTCCTGTGCCTGTGGGAAAATCTTTCCAAGAAAACAGGTCTTCAGCCTGTCTGTAAAGTTCCTTGACTTAGTCCTGTCTGCTTACTCAGAAGTGACTTGTGGCATCTGTACACTTTTGACACAAATGCTTTGGGGCATCTTTTGCAGCTCACCATTAATGGGATTCGTTGAGTGTGGCCAAGGCTCCTGGGAGGGATACCTCAGCTGCAGTTTGTGTCTCTGAGTTCCCCAACCTTGTCCTTGCACACAGAGAATCTGCTCTGTTGGACCCCAGGCAAGCAGCACACGGGCACAGCTGGGCTGCCTCATGCAGGGAGGTTTTTGCTCAGGGCTGTAGCACAGTGCTAGGGTATTTTCTACCCTGCTGGCAGTAATAAACCCCTGCATCCTCAGGCTTCACAGTGCTGATTGTCAGTGTGAAATCTGTGCCTGACCCACTGCCACTGAACCTGTCTGGGACCCCAGTAAATCGGTTAGAAACCGTATAGATCAGGAGTTGTGGAGACTGGCCTGGCTTCTGCAGGTACCAGTACAAGTATGTGTTTCCATCGCTATGCAGGAGGCTCTCACTGGACTTGCAGGAGATGGAGGCTGGCTCTTCAGGTTTGATAGACAGGGAGGGTGGAGTCTGTGTCATCACGATGTCTCCACAAGATGCTAAAACATGAAAGACAAGTGCCAGGTCATGTATACAATTTTTTAGCAGGTTTAATAATGTTCCTCTTGCATAGTATAGGCTAGAGTACTGTTTCAATTTTGACTTATAATTTAAATATTCATTTTTAAGACAGTATGTAAGATTTTCATCCAAACAGCATTGCACATACCAACTCACTCTATTTTTAACAGAAGCTAGGTCCAGATGCCCTGGAATCTTCCCCCCACCCCCATCACAGATCTAAACAGCATCTGCCATCCTGAAGTATGAAATCCACACATGTCAGGTTGGGAGGTGGCTCAGTGGTAGAGCGCTTGACTTGCATGCATGAGGCCCTGGGCTCAATTCCTCAGCACAACATAAGCAGAAAAAAAGCCAGAAGCGGTGCTGTGGCTCAAGTGGTAGGGCACTAGCCTGAGTTGAAGTGGTGAGGGACAGCACCCAGGCCCAGAGTTCAGGCCCACAACCGGATCCCCCCTCCAAAATAAAAGGAAACCACACATCTCACTTGTGGAGAGAACACACAACAGCAACAGTAATTCCCCCTACGCCTCACCCTTACACCCCATCTCCTTCCTCCTCTCCTTCATCTCTCTGTGTCTTTACCAGGGATCCAGAGCATCAGCAGTCCCAGGAGCTCAGCAGGGCATCTCATCTTGAGAGACTGAAATGAGGAGTCCTGATCAGTGTACTCAGGGTGAGAAGTTAAACTTAGCAAGGAGACTCCTCCCTATGGCGCACTATGCAAATTGTATGGTGGGTGCAGCAATGTGTCAAGACTTAAAGGGCATGGAAGGAGGCATCTTAGTTGTGTCAAATAATTTCTGTATTGGATGGAAGCAAGTACAAACAAATTCCTTGCTGTTTTCCTCAGTGGGCAGTAGGAGGCCATGTGGACATTCTGGATGTCTTATTGCAGAAGTGGGATTGGAAATGCTCTGGACCAACCTCTCTAAGACAGTAAGGAGACCCAGTGCAGTAGAGGTGTGGGAATTCATCTCTTGGAGGGGAACAGTCACCTATTGGCTCCTTCCCAGCTAAGATGATAAACAACTTGGACCTCCTACTCTGGAGTATGGCCCTTCAGCTTTCTTTTCTTTTTTTTTTTGGGTCGTGTCGTGGGGCCTGAACTCTGGGCCTGGGCGCTGTCCCTCAGCTCTTCAGCTCAAGGCTAGCACTCTACCACTTGAACCACAGTACCACTTATGGCTTTTTTCTTTTTGCTTATGTGGTGCTGAGGAATCGAACCCAGGGCCTCAGGCATGCAAGGCAAGCGCTCTTCCACTGAGCTACCTTCCCAGCCTGGCCCTTCAGTTTTTTAGCATTAACAGCATAGAGTTCAGCTACAGGGACACTTTCTTCTTCTTCTTCTTCTTTTTTTTTTTTTATAAGTTTTTATTGTGAAAATACTGTACAGAGGGGTTAAAATCACATGAGCAAGACAATGAGTACATTTCTTATCAAGCAATGTTGCCTTTACCCTTGTTTCCCTCCTCCCCATCTATATTGTAAAGTTCGTTTTTTGACATGGCGTGTTGTACATCTCATTGTTGCAATGGATCAACCTGTATCCCTATTTAAACGATTGTTTTTTCCCTTCTGCTTTCCAAATTAAACCAACATTAATTACAGTGAAAAGAAGAGATATATCTTGGGGGGATGGACCTACGCAGCAACAAAAAATCACGTGGTGCCTTATAAATACATTAGAAAGAAGAGCAAGAAAGAAAAAATCCACTTGTTTCCTCATCTGGGGGTTCATTTTGCTTAACATCATCTTATCTGACCTTTCTGCCTGTCTCAGATATTGCTAATAAGGGAAACCATGGGACCTATGTTTCTTTGTGCCTTGCTTACTTCACTTAATATAATTTTTTCCAAGTCTTACCATTTCCTAACAAATAGGGCAATGTCATTCTTCCTGTACACCGGTAGTTTCCAAGTGGACAAAGCATGTTAGAAAGAAAGCTTAGCAAGACCTTTTCCTTGGACCTAGCAAGTAAAATTCTGTGATGCTCATGTGGAGAGAACTTGGCAGGGAGGAATACAAGAATTTATGTTTCAGCTAAAGAGTTAATTGCCCAGTTCAAAACAAATGAAAAGGTGGGAAATTTCACTTTCATTCATGAATACAAAGTTCTTGGGAATTACAAACTAGTTTGTGCACATTCTGTCATACTTGTTACCAGTTATGTCAGATTCATATAAACCTCCTCCCAGCAACACAACTATATTTATTACACCATTATTCACCATAGCTAAGATATGGAACCGACACCAATGCCCCTCAGTAGATGAATGGATCAAGATAATGTATATTTATATATGTATATAATGCAATTCTATGCCACCATCAGAAAGAATGATACCACCCCATTTGTAAGGAAATGGGAAGTCTTGGAAAAATTCTATTAAGTGAAGTAAGCCAGACACAAAGAAACATGGTTTCTTTTTTTTTTTTTTTGCAATAACTACTGTATATCTAGGATAATCTTACTAGACAAGCAAAATGGTCAAAAGCTATGTAATACAAGATGATGTTAAGCAAAATGAACTCCAAGATATGGACACAATAGGTTTTTTTCTTTGTTGCTGTTGTTTTTAATGTACTATGTGTATTTGGGTTTATTTTGTATGTTCTTCCTTCTATGGTATAACCTCTGTTGTCATTATATTTGATTTTGGTACCCTGCATCTTGTGTGTACATTTATCTATTTTGGGGAGGGGAAGGGGATAATAAAATGCTAAAACAAGGATACAGGATGACCCATTGTGACAATGATATGTACAAGACACTATGTTGAAAATGGACTTTACAAATTCGGGGAGGGGGGTGAATGGACAGAGGAGTCAGGGACCTGGGGAGGGAAAGGATAATAGGAGAAAAGCAAAGGAGGGGTAACAATGATCAATAAGAAATATTCTCATGAACCCCTTGGTACAGTATATACATATATATGTATATACTGTATATATATATATACTGTATTTATATATGTGTGTGTGTATACATACATATATATGTGTGTGTGTGTATATATATATATATATATAATTTTTTGTGATCATGGGGCTTGACTTCTGGGCCTGGGCGCTGTCCTTCAGCTCTTCAGCTCAAGGGAAGTGCTCTACCAATTGAGCCACAGTGCCACTTCGTCTGTACAGTATTTGTACAATCAAAACAAACAGAAATCCCTTCCTCCCTTTCCCCTTTAGGCAATACTTGGTTTGAAGTCCAGGAGTCAAACTTGGGATGCTTCTGGTCCTGCATTATGCTGGTATTTTTGGAGATGGAGTCACATGGATATTTCAGCCAATATTTTCAATTAAAACTGAAGCTCTTGTACTGTGCCATCCAGTGGTTTGTAGTTTAGGTCTATACGATCCATCTTAGAGCTTCTATGTTGACTTTACTATCTTTTCTCATTGCACAGTTACACTTCAGTTGCTGCTGTTTTTGGCTGTTGATTTACATCAGATGATTTCACCATCCACTGCTCAGGTGAATTGCTTCCTCCTATGCTGATTGCTTTGCCTAGGCCCCTCCAGGCTGCTTCTCAGCTTTGATAAATGAGCCCTTTGAATTGGGAACTGAGCTGCATCAGGTGGACTGGGACAGCAAGGTGGTGGCACAGATCCAAGTCCCTGCGCTCCTGCTACTTTGGATGTTTGGTGAGATATTTGAAAATGTTGCCGTAGAAGTTCTACTGCCTTCCCATTTATAGACTAATATCTGTGTAGAGATAAATATACTGACATTACAGTGTTGATTTTGATGAAGTACTTCACTATTTATATTCATGTTATAAAGTCTGTGTGTACATAGATATGATCACTGTACTTTTCTAATTGTGGGTGTTTGTAGGAACATTGTGGTTACTCAGTCTCCAAGGTCCTGGGTTGTGTCTGCAGGAGAGAGGGTCACCATCAACTGCAAGCCCAGTCAGAGTCTGTTATGGAGCAAAGATAATGAGAAGCACGTGCCTTATTATCAGCAGAAATGGGGAGAAGCTCCTCATCTGTTTATGTATTCTGTGTCCACTCACCATCTGAATTCCATTAACAGTGGATCTGAGGCAGACTACACTCTCAGTATCAGCAGCATGCAGGCTGAAGTTGTGGCAGACTATTACTGCCAACAGAATTATAACTTCCCTTTCACAGTGCTTCAGCCTCGACCACAACCTCCTGTCCAGGCCATGGGTCAGTGAGCCTTGCTGTGTGCACAGCTGCCTTCTCACAAAGCCCTGAACTGGCATCCTTCCTCCCTGTGAGAGGAAGCATTTCTCCATTGAGTCCTGGTAAGGTTTGCAGGGACCAGGAAATCTTTCAGGTGCTTTGGCTTCTGGATTTTTCTTTGAGGGAGATAATTATGGCAAATTATGGTAAGGTTGTCTGAGAGACATTGTTAGTAGTTTTTGTATTACAGGTACCTGAATATTTCTCATGTTCAAATGGCTGATGCCATGAAGTTAGTCTTTACTCTTTAGAGATAGATGTAGTTGTGTGTGTGTGTGTGTGTGTGTGTGTGTGTGTGTGTGTGCATGTGTGTGCATGTGAGTGCTATTCCTTAGGCTTGAACTCAGGACCTTGGTGGTATTCCCAAGCTGATTTTTCTTTTCCTTTATTTTCTTTTCTGTTCTTTTCTTTTGTTGAAGGGTAGTGCTATACTGCTTGAGTCATCCATTTGCTTTTATTTTTTTGGTTAATTGAAGATATGTGTTTCTGGGGCTTTCTTGCAAGCTGTGTGCCTTTCAAAAGCAATTCTCAGATCTTAGCCTTCTGAGTAGCTGGGATTACAGGCAGGAGCCATTGGTGCTGGTGAGTCTAGTGCTTCTGGATAGATCAATTCCACTTCTCTCCCCTTCCTTTTATCCTGGAGTCTCCTATTTTGTTCCTATTCCTTATTTTTGTCTCATTTAGTTCTTAATATTAAACCCAATCATTTCCTGGATTCATTTCTTTCCCAATGTTAAGCCCATGATACCTTGTATGAAAACCTCAATACCCAATTTATTTCTTCTGTCCCTGCACCTTGTTCACCAGCTGAATGAACTCCTGTGGTCAATTTCAAACAAAAATACACCCCTATTCTACCTCCTCACATCCTGTTCTTTTTTTCAGGTCTTTCAATCATACTTTCTTTCAAAATTAATTTTTTGAATTTTGCAAGTTAGTCACTAGAAATGTGTGACAGCATTTCCCATTAGATTTCCTCATCTTTGGTTAATTTTCTCTCTAGTTTATCCATGAGCACCTCCGTCCAATATTGTTGTAGAAAGACAGTGAAGATCTTAGACTTACTATATGTTGAATTCCTTATGTAGTATGTCATTAATGTGGGCATTTTGGTGTAAAGAAGACAAAAGAAAAAGTCATCCTAATATTATTTCCCTATTCCTTTCTGAAATCTAATGAGATTTACTTCCTGTAAAGGTATCAGAAAACCCAAGGTAGGTACTCTAAATTCGTTCGTACATAAAAGCCTTTCAGTTGGGGACTGGTGGCTGAACCAACCTTGCTACTTACAAGGCTGAGGTCTGAGAATTGTGTTTGGAAGCCCCTCCATGTAGGAATGTCTGTGAGAATCTTATCTGCATTTAATCACTAAAAAGTAAGAACTGGAGTTGTGGCTGAAGTAGTAGAGCACTTTCCTTGAATGAAATAAGCTATGAGAGAGCTCATAGGTTCTGAATTCAAGATAGAGTACCGATAAACACGTGTGTGTGTGCGCGCACACACACACACACACACACACACACACACACACACACACACACAAGAATATCTCTTTTTATATTCCCTATAAATATTTAAAATATGCACTCATTTTTAAGACTTTATTAAAACTTATACATTTATTTATTTAATTATGTCTGGGACTTGATTTAAACAATCTTAAGTACGAAAACAACTTTGAATACAATGAAGGTAGTTTGAGTTGAAATGGGTACTAGATAATAGGAAATGACTTTATATTTCCAGTCCTGGGGCTAGAACTCAGGGCCTAGGCACTCTCCCTGGATATTGTACGACCACTTGAGCCACAGCTTCACTTCTGGCTTTTTGACAGTTAATTGGAGATAATAGTTCCATTCATTTTCCTGCCTGGGCTCTATCTCAGCCTCCTGAGCAGCTAGAATTACAAGAATGAGATGGCACCAGATGGGAATTCCTTTTAAGTCTCTATAGTATGGTTGTTATTTAAAAAGTCATCATCAGTTAACAAAGTAGTGATAATTGGCTTAAACACTGTGTGCATTTGTGTGTGGGAGTGTGGGGGCATGCATGTGGTGGTGGGATGTGTGTGTGTGTGGGGTGTGTGTGTGTGTGTGTGTGTGTGTGTGTGTGTGTGTGTGTAGGGTTTTAGAGGTAATTTGGATCAAACAAGTAGGTGAAATGAGGTTGGAAAATGTTAATTGGTGACACTATGTTCTGTGTTTATATATAATTAAACATTTTGTAAAGTATTAAAGGTGAAAGGAATGAAATATGTTGACCAAATAACTTATTCTCAAGTCAGTTACAGTTATATAGCTTTGGCAGCAGATGGCAGATAAGGATAAGCCATGTGCCTACTTGAGTCATAGCTCAGTTTGCTACCTACCAAGAACAGTCATTATATCTCTATCATCTGAATCATCTGAATCTCTATTTCCTAATCTGCATCTGTTCTACCTCTCTATCATTCTATCTCTCTATCTTTCTATCTTCTTAGCTGTAGCTTTACTCCAGCTCAATCATTTTATCTCTGTTTCTTTTTATCTTACAGTCTACCATCCACACACACACACCACACCTGCATATATTTACATATGTATATATCCACCTATTTACATTTAGAAAATTATTGTATTTATTCATTTAGTATAAGATGTTATTTTCTGACTATAATAACAAGTAGTGTTTCATGGCAATCAAATGTTTCCTTTCCAAATACCATTGTGCTTTAACATAGATATCTAAGGTAGATTGAAGGAATAGCTGTGGAATTTGATGTGCAAGAAAAAACTAAAGATATGTCACTCCTCCAGCTTAGGGTGAAATCCTTTCTTCTTGTAATCTTGGATAACATTACTACCTCTGATGCCATTTGAATATTTAATACAGTCTGCAATATGTAGAGCCTAGAAAAGTCATGAAGTCTAAACTCAGTCAGTGGAAAAGGGAAAGTTTCCTTCCTCAAAAGGATCACACTACCCTAAAATTTGTGTCTATGTTGTTTAGCAATGTCTACCCTGCTGTGAATGATGGAGTTTACTACAGCTTCCAAGGTACACAATCTTACCCCTGTGGTACAGCCCAGGGCAAAATCTCCCTGTTAATGGTAGCCAAGCTCTCCCCATGTGCCTCTTATCTTGGGACCAGCAGAACATTTGTTTAGTTCAGTATTCTGGACCAGCTGTGGATAGAATTTTAGCATGTGCTTAAATAAAAATGTTATGCAGTATTTACATTTAACATATATTTATCATACTATATATTCAGATCATCTTGGGATACTTATGATGCCTACTATACAGAAGTGTTACACTAATAGGTGTCTTACTCCATTGTGTACAGTACAGATTATTTTTTGTCAGTCATGGGGCTTGAACTCTGTGCCTGGGGGCTGTACCTCAGCTCTTCAGCTCAAGGCCAGTGGTCTATCACTTGAGCCACAGTGCCACTTCCATTTTCTAAGTGGTTTAGTGGAAATAAAATTCTCGTGTCCTTTCCTGCCCAGCCTGGCTTTCAATTGTGATCCTCAGATCTCAGCCTCCTCAATAGGCAGGATCACAGGTGTGAGCCACTACTCGGCTACAGTACAGATCTTTAAACTATTTTTCCACATTTCTTATAAATTGGCATTAATTAGTTGTACAGGAGGTTTTATTTGGGTGGATCCATCACTGCAAACAGTGGACCTTGATAGACTCTCTCCCTGCATCACTGTCCCTCCTTGCTCCCTTCCCAAATCAAATCTCTGTGTCATTGTTCCATTGTCAAACATGTACATAAAGTATTTCCATCATATTGACTCTCATTCAGCCTCTCCATTCACCCTCCTCTCTCCCACTTGTAATTACTATTTCTATTACTGTCATTTAAATTCTTAGTGTATGCTAATATTCAAATGGGCTTTAACCTGATATTTTTGCATATATACTACCCTGATGGGATTGCACCTCTCACTTGTTGTCACATTCCCTAACCCTATTACCCTATTATTCCAGACTTCAGTGAGCCCCATTTTGCTCTCTTTATCCACAGCTGAAGTAGACTTAGATATTGTTCATCCTTTAACCCTTGCTTTTGCATATCTAATCCTCTCCAAGAGTCCTACTATGACATGTTTATAACTTGTTCATTTATTATAAACATGTTATATGTCTCCCATATTTCTTTGTGCATTTACATGCACATTTATCTTTTAGGCTTAGCAAGCACACATGAGAGAAAGCATGTGAACCTGGCTTGCTTTGTTTAACATGAAGGCCTCAGATTTACCCACTTCTTTGCAAATGACACAATTTCATGTTCAGCCTGGCCAGGCTGTATGGCAAAAGAATTATAAGACTTCCCAAAGGCCTCTTGAGTCCCACACAGGTTAGGCACAGATTTCATTCTGGAAATCATAAATGTCTACCACTCTGTGGATACTGAGTTTACTATTGCTTCCAAGGTACACAATATCTTATGCCTGTGGTACAGCCCAGGGCAAAACCTCCCGGTGAATGGTGACCAAGCAGTCCCCACCTGCTTCTTGTCTGGGGACCAGCAGAGCAGATGTTCGGAGCCTTTGTGAGGACAAGCTTGGGGAACTCAAAATATCAAACTGCAGCTGAGTTCTGTCCCACAAGGGCCTTGGCTCTCTATTCAATCACTTAGAATGATCCAACATCAAGAACAGCAGTAACAACAATAATTTCTTAAAAACTGCTGGTGAGAATGAACTTTTTGTCTGTCCTGTGTTTGAACATGATTCTCCTGATCTCTACCTCCAAAGGCTAGGCTTAGAGGCCCAAGTCAACCCCTTTGGCCCCATATTCATCTTATACCTCACAAGATAATCTCCATGTTGTCTGGGCAGCCAGTGTTAGTTTACAGGCAACCATTCATTTACACATTCCAGTGTGCATGTCTCCATATTGTTATGCCAAAGTCACAGGACCCCCACAAGAAGACCACCGAGAATCAGACTCTACTGCTGTTTCATTTAAAGGGGCTGCAGCTCGGTTCTTGTCCTACACTCCAACACAGCAGAACCTAGAGGGAGAGCCCCAAGCTAAGGATTTGCAGGTCTTATAAAGGCACACAATCAACCAGGTGTTTGGATTACCACCACATGTTGCTTTGCTAGACAGAAACAAGCAACAAGTGGACATTGCCACTAACTTAAACCTTTCATCCTTCACCTTGACTTATGGTCCTGAGCCACAATCTTGTGGCTTTGGCCCCAAACTAAACTCCAACAGCTCTTGATCTTGAATGAGTATACCAATAACAATCAGTCCATTTTTCTTTTCTTGAGGTGTATGCAGAGTGGTTGGGTAGGATGCTTGGAGACTTCCCATGTTTCCCAACGGTCATCCAGGGCAAAGGGGTCAGACGGTCTGGCATGGGAGCAGTGGATCCAAGCAGTAATACCATCCACCTTAAGGGCAGTAGGTGTAGCCAGTAGCACCATGTAAGGTCCCTTCCACCATGGTTCCAGAGATCTCAAGTTGTGCCTTCGAACAAACACCCAGTCCCCTGGTTTAAACAAATGGGGGGCAGGAATAGAAGCAGAATCATATAATGCTCTAAGCTGGGGCCACATACTCTTATGTACCAGCTGTTAATAGTCAAGCTTACACAGAAATTCAGTATCATCCAAATCAGCAAGCAGTCTGAAGGCTAGGGATAATGGGTGGAGGGTGTCCATACATTATTTCAAAAGGAGTAAAGCCAAGCTGATAGGGTGAATTTCTTATTCTAAACAAGGCAAAAGGAAGGAGTGATACCCAGTCTGCACCAGTCTCCAAGGTCAATTTAGTTAAGGTCTCTTTTAGAGTCCGATTCATTCTTTCTACCTGCCCAGAACTCTGGGGTCTATAAGCACAGTGCAATTTCCAATCTGTCCCCAGTGCCACGGCTATTCCCTGAGATGAAGGCCGGTCCATTTTCCGACCCGATGGTGGATGGGAAGCCATACCTGGGTAGGATTATTTCTAGGATCTTCTTAGCCATGATGTTCCCGGTCTCATGCTTTGTTGGGTAGGCTTCAACCCATCCTGAAATCATGTCTA